TGTGTTAAATAATATGTTTTTATCTACCCTATCAATTCCTTTGAGAATCTTGTACGTGGTAATATGTCCCCTCTAACTCTTCTGTCTTCTAGCGATGTGAGGTTTAATTCCCGTAGTCTCTCCTTGTAGCTCATACCTCTCAGTTCGGGTACTAGTCTGGTGGCAAACTTTTGAACCTTCTTCAGTCAAGTCTTATGCTTGACGAGATATTAGCTCCATGCTGGAGCTGCATACTCCAGGATTGGTCTGACATAGGTGGTATTCAAGGTTCTGAATGATTATACAATGAATGAATGAATGAATGAATGAATGAATGAGTGAATGAATGAATGAATGAATGAATGAATGTGTGGGTGGGTGTGTGTGTGTGTGCTCACGTGAAGGAAGGTTTAGCTGTTGCTGACGGAACCCACACTCTGACCTGCCTAGCTCACCTCACAGCTAGTGAGAGCTAGGGAGTATCACTCCGCCAGGTTTACTAAATTTATTAAGCAGGGTTTAAATTGAACAACTAATCTCTGTTGTACTGAACAACCCAGATGATTGAACTCCTATAACTGATGGTAATTGTACAGGCATCTTAGGGAGAGGCTATTTCCAATTATAATATTAGCTACTGATCTGAATTTGAACGTTGTAAATGACTAAATATGGAGATTGTGGTCACGTCAACCGCGTGACCCCCTGGCCTCGGCTAGGTCATCCGCGGCCCACCGACCTAGTACCTCCTACTCATGACGTCACTTCATAATGACGGTGTATGAACCCTGATCTCAAGCTGTACCTTCATCTTGGCCTAGCCTACATACTTAATCCAATTAGTTATTACTGTAATTACTGTGATTGTTAATTAATTCATTACATGTTGCTTTAAAACAAAGGCGACGGCCATCTTGTATTCTAACATATTAATCCCAGGGGAGATGACCCATGCTCCCAAGTCAGGTCAACTATCTTGTTACTCCATATTTGGTACAAGGGCGTATGCCACTGCCTCCCTTACAATTATTTCCAAACAGCTTCAGCTGTTACATTACTTTGGCATATCTGTGGCCTGTACGTATGCCCTCTACAGTGTCTAGACAGTCGGGCTAGTCCTACTTCTCATATGGAACAGTCTGCCCTAAATCACTCCGCATGTGTCCCTCAGTATCTTGTACGTCGTGACCGTGTCTTCTTTGGATTTTTTTACTCCAGTATTTGTAAGTTTAAGTCCTTGTAGCAAAGGCATGAATCTTCTCAATTTTGTGGTATATCAGCATGTTTGGGTTCCCGACCAGCGCCACCTACTCCAGGATAAGTCTGACGTAGGTTATGCACGTTCTGAAGGATTATATGTTTAGGTTCCGTAAATTTGTTGTTCTTCTTCTGCTAACGACTTTGCATATGTTGCAGACGTCAGGCGAGGTCAGAGGTTAGGCGATGTCAGAGGTCAGAATAGAGGTCAGGCGAGAAACTGTGTGTGATGCCAACTTCTATGTGTTTTTCCTTTTCTCTCCTCGTTTATTGTTCATTAAGTCTTGTTTCTCCCTTCCTCGTATTCTATAATCTTGCATTTACTGGGATTAACTCTTGCAGCCACATACCTCAGTATGTGTCACATACCGCAGTATGAATCACATGTTCAAGAGCTGAGAGATATTGCGAGGATTCTAAAGGCAGAGAAGGCTGGTGTTGGTGAAGGCTTTCCTTGGGGAAGGGTGTGTGGGTCAACCCAGACCTTTCAGTGTCATGCCATATTTTTTGACTTACTACAGGCAGTCCATTATGAATAGAATTCTTTTAACAGTTTTGGGGAGATCAGTGCCCAATGTTTTATAATATGTCGAGAACAAAATAATTATTTAGATTTTTGTTTTGTTTTTAAGAGCGGCGATCCGGGTGCGACTCACCTCCACATTCTGGTGTTAGCCAAGGGACCCATTCTCGTGTAAGTGGGGAAAATTGTGCTGATGTAACTCATTAGTTTTGGGTATGTATCCAAGAGCAATCACAGTGGAAAGTTGTGTGAGGCAAGCCTAAGAGTTTGGACACTAGCATTGGACACACTAACTGGGCCAGCCTCTCCCAATTTTGCACTGTGATTGCTGCTAGGTGCATGCCCAAATTGGATGGGTTATGGTCAGCACAATTTTCCCCATTTACTCGAGAATGGGTCCCTCGGAGAACCCCAGAATGTGGTGGTGAGTCGCCACCAGATCGCAGCTCTGTGATCAAATGGAACAAATTTCTTGGCAAATCTGGGATCAGATCGATCTTCTTAAAAAAAATAAAAGAAAACTTATCACCACAACATAAAACATTAAACACTGATGCCCACAAAATAAAAATTGTACCTGTCATATTTTGAATTAAAAAGACCAATATGTGTTCTTGATGTCATCAACATTGAGAACCACACCACCATACTCCCTCCCATACCTCCCTTACCTCCCTTATCTTCCCTTATCTTCCTTACCATCATACCCACTATCCTGAGAGCAAGGGAGGGAGAGATAGAAAGAGACGGACAGAAATATTGAGATGGAGACACACAGAGAGACAGGAACAGAGAGGCGGCAACAGAGAGGCACAGAAACAGCCAGAGAGACACACACAGATAGAAACACAGCAATTTAGACTGAGCCAGAGAGAGAGAGAAAGACAGAGAGACAGATGTATAGAGAAAACGCTGTCCAGGATACACAAAGAGCAAAAAGAGAGACACAGAGAGATACAGCCAGAGAGACAGAAACCACATACACAGAAAGAGACACAGACACACAGAGACAAACAGACGGTGACACAAAGAGGAATAGAGGGACATATCCAGAGGCACAAAGAGACAGACAGACACAGTACAGAGGTACTGACAGAAAGAGAAGGGACGTGTTCCCATACATTGCCTCCCAATATATGTTCCCATTTGTTATCATTATTTCTCATAGTTTTTCTTGAACTTATTTTAGATGGAATAATACTGGATCGACTCGAGCACACCCCTCCCCCCGGATTAGCCATCTAAAAGAGACATATATATATTAATTATTTAGTGAGCTGGTACAAACATGTCAGAAACTAACTAAACAATGGACGGTTTCTGCGTCGTCAACACAAATGATCATATCAATAGCCAACCCACAAAACTATGAATTTTAAATGTGTGTATGCAAATGAGCCCATCTGGGTGGCCCTGGTGCCTCGCTCACACCCTTCCCCCTCCAATGTGATTATCACCTATGGTTAATTACAGCT